TTAATAAAATAGGGTTAGAGGAGAAGGGTGAATTATTCGACTTCTTCTCTTACCTCTTCTCTTCGACGTACACAGCTCTTGCACTACTATTCAGATCTGATTTGCACTGTTAATTATTGATTTTAAACCTGATATTAGAAGACTGATTCACATCTGAACTAACAGACAGTAGGTTGGTATGAAGTCTAGGGACATGTAAAACAGAAGACAGAGTTATACCATTGGTCACTCTAACTATCCCTTTCCCAATAATGGGAATATGTGAACCTAGAGACTCTGTCTCTACCAGAACACAACTGATAGGAACTGAAAAGGGTAGGGGCATTAGTCATGTGCTCAAATGCTCCTGACTCTATAATCCAGGGAGGTTCCTCCTTACCTGAAGTGGATGCAAGATTTGCAGTTGCATATGAACTACCTGTATGTGCAAAGGAAGAGGTGTAGCTGGCTCCTGCATTCCATTGTCCATCTGAAAGGCTAGTGCTAGGTGAATCTTTCTTACTCCTAAGCTATCCAAACCTCTCCAATTCTGTCCTCACTGCTGCTACTGCAATGGATTCCCAATCAGTTTGGGAAAAAGGGACCGAAGAGTCTCCTGTAGTGGCTACATTTGCATTTCCCTTCTTGTTCCTTATTTGGGCAGGCATAAGATTTGGATGAAATTTCCAGCAAGTGTTCCTGGTATGCTTAGGCTTCTTGCAATAATCACACACCAAGTCCTTATCTTCCCTTATAGTCCCACTACTCCCCCTGTCTCCATTCGGCTGAAGTTTTGTTGTACCAACCATAGCCGACTAGTCAATCCTAGGTTGTCTCAGCATTACATTCCTCCTACTCTCCTCTCCAGAGACGAAGGCATAGGCTTGAGAGAGTGTGACACCCTCCCTAGAAACAATACGCTACCTGGCAATGTCGAATTTAGGGTTCAGCACTGCCAAGAACTCAAAAACCCTATTCCTCTCTACCAGTCTGTGATAGGTTGCTGCATCATTTACACTTTCCCATACCACAGTTTCTAAGTGATCTATTTCCTGCCATAGGGTTTTCAGCATGGAGAAATACACAGCAAGAGGTTTTTSTCCCTGTTTCATACTTTCCCATACCACAGTTTTTGGGAGTAGGTTTCAGTCACTCCATCCCAAATCTACTGTTACCTGTTTCATACTTTCCCATACCACAGTTTTTGGGAGTAGGTTTCAGTCACTCCATCCCAAATCTACTGTTACCTGTTTCATACTTTCCCATACCACAGTTTTTGAGAGTAGGTTTCAGTCACTCCATCCCAAATCTCCTTAACAGTATTAGCCCATAGGAAATTTTTTGCAATATGAGGTAACATAGAATTACACAACCAGGGCATTACCATGTAATTCTCCTGCACCCATCGGGAAGAGTCTGTATTAGGTTTCTTCTCCTCCCCAATGAGATACCCTAATTTTCCATGGGCACCAATAGCCATCTTAGCTGATTGTGCCCACTCCAAATAATTTGTACCATCAAGTTTTACTATAGTAATGATCCCAGACCAAAAAATATCACTACTACCTCCAACACCCAATCCCACAGTACCGGTAGATTTTATCTCGGTATTCCAACTCTCCATCTTACTTCAAACAGTTCAACAGTAAGAAAAAATAGATTGGAAACCTTCCCAAAAACAATTTAATATCACACACACAGAAACAAACCCTTCCGAAAGAAGAAAACCCTAGCTGGGGAGAAATCTCTCTCCTCCCCACGCCTCCCAACAGAGAGGAGTGAATCGATCACTCCAGGAGGCTCAGAAAAATCCAAAAGCCAAACCGCACTCTTCAGAAACTCAAAAGAAAGCTAACAATACCTGGCCGCCCAAGGTCAGATCAAAAACAAAGAGTCCAACTTTTCTGGGACTCTTCCCCTTACTCCAGCTCTTCCTTATTTTGGTGCCGAACAGCAGACCACCTTCCTGATGACTAGATCCCACCAAAAAATCCAAGAACTGGGAAATCTACAGCAGATCGATCAGCCCTTTATTACTTCATGCAGTTGGCTTATCTAAGACTGCATGAGAATGCTTCTAGAAACCCTAGCCGCCGCTCTGATACCAAGTAGAAAGCTTGCTGAATTAAAAAAATATGAAATAAAAGGAGTTTCTTGAAGAAAGAAGGAAGAGAGAAGGAGAAGAAGAGAAGTTGAAAAGAAAGGAGAGCAATAATCTGGCCTCCCCCTTCACTTATTATATATACTAAAAATATTAGAGCCGTACAAAGACAACTATGCCCTTATAGGGCGGCAATACATAAAACAGCATATAAAAGACAAAAACATAATAAAATTTGGACTCACATAACTATTGTGGTCCCCACTTCCTATTTAACAACTAACATAAAACATCTACTCATAAAAAATATCATAAAACTGATTAATCTTCAACAATTTGCAAGTTTGCATTCCCTGAGTTCATTCACACTTGCCTCAGGTTGTTCTCTGATGAGTGGTGCCAATTTATGGGCATTATTTGACCTTTTGTATTTTATACTAATCAATGTTTTAGATGTAATTTTCATTATTATAAAATTTAATGAAGAGGGCCAAACCTGATTTAGATGGCCTTATTAGTGAAACATCTTTTTCTTCTTCTTTTAGTAAAACTTATAAACACAATTAATCATCAAAGTCACCCACAAGTGGGTATTAGAGTGAGTATGTGATCAGCAGTTGGTTTTTATGCACCTGTCAGGCTGTTGACGTCATTCCTACCGATGCATCAGCAGACCATATGGTTAGCCTTAACCTTAGAACATTGAAACCCTAGAATCTGGTCAAGTATGATGTTGGATAGATTTTGGTGGAAGTTTAATCTTGTTTTGAAGCTGTAAGGTATTTTTAGGTTTTTTTGAGGAAATGGAAAACAACAGACATGGAAGTGATTGAAAAAAAAAAAAAAAACAGATTTCAGTTGCATGATGTTTCTTAATCTTCTAGTGTTGGTCTTATCTTGATAGGGTAAGGGATAAAGTTTCAGTGTTGCATCTTCTAACTGATATTTGTCAGATCTTGTTCAAGGGTTTTAGTGTCTAGGTTGAGTTGGATAAGATCTCCACAACATGGTTCACAATTTCGATATTAATGAAGATTAAAAGTCTCAATTCTTGTTAGAGCTGATGACCTAAACTCAAGTGAGGGCCTAAATGGATGTCCCCATCTATGGACTCTGATGCTCAAGTTAGTGAATGCTGAGTTGTCCGATGTGATAAGGGATGCGAGAGCCATAATCACAGTGTGATAGCTTACCTTTATATAGGGCTTGTGACTTGGCTAGAACGTGGCATGGAGGGCAAGCTAGGCGGCCAGTCATAGTGGGCACGTCTTGGTAGCTGATGGTGGCACATTTGTTGTTCTTGAGGCACGTCCACATTTCACAGGCATCTAATATCTACTTCCCTATTTAGTGGGAGCATTGCCAGGTGGCCCCGTGTTCACATAAGGTATAGTTTGGCCCTTCTGTGGTAATGGAGATGAGCGGGAGCTTGTCCTACATGTTAGAGATGCATTGAGGTCAGAAGTTTTAATCAGGTTGGAGGTAGCCTGGGATGGATGGACTAGGTTGAAAGCACATACCCGAATCCATTCTATGTCGGAGGTTGGTTGTTATCGGACCTTTCGGGTTGAGTTGTTAATGATGTTCCGAACTGCTATCTAAGTACAGGTCTGCCACATGTGATGAGGTTACATAAAGCATTCATGTTGCCATGTGTCAAGATGTAGTTGGAGGGGAAATCGCCCCTTATCAATTCTCCCTCACTTTTGAGCTTGAGGTGAACAGCTCAGTCAATGATGATTCTTGTCAAACTCTTTGGTTGTGGGTTTTGCTCAAATTCTTGCAAGTTTGATACGTTGGTTTGAAACCGTTTGATTGATCCTGTCACCATACATGCGGACTTCACATGAAAAATTAACTACTGCGGACGCCAGAAAACATGCTAAACTAAATTCATACCTTTGAAGGCGAACCGTCGTAACTCTCCCTGCCGTTGGATCAAATGGATCTAAGTCGTTGATGATCCACCAGTCTTGCTTATAAATGGTAGGGTTAGGGGGTCCATTTCTCACATGTCCATTGTGGAGTTGCCTAGTAGCGAGGTCAGAGAGCTTGGTGGATGGTTGAGGAGTCCGTGCAGAGCCAGGTCGGTCGAGTCATTTTAGATCTCCCAGGTGAGCCTCCTTCCCTTAAATTTCATCCAATATATCTAGTTCTTTTGAGTTCTTAGAGGGAGATGAGCAAGTTGGAGCTTAGATCAGGGAAGATATGTCCTCAGTCCAGGAGCATCGAGGTTCTCATAAAGGGGCCTCGGTTTTGAGGAAGAAGTCCATGTTTGGCCAAACTCGGTTAACATTTGTCGATCTCTGGCTAATTAGGGAGTGGTACCATGACCCTGACAACTTTAGGTTTATCCTTCATAGTGGGCCATAGGTTCCCCTTCGCCCTTTCATGTCCAAGGTGTTGGAACTACTATGACGTCACCGGTCACCCTAGGTCAGCTCCATTTGAACTTAGTAAGGTTTTGATAGGCACCATCTCGGTGTTCCATCAGTTCAACTTGCCCCTGAACATAAAAACCTTCGCGGAGGGGGGGTTAATCTTCTAGATAAAGCACTTGGCCAATGAGGAAGTTTTTTTTTTTTTTGTACTTGTACCGGTCTCAACGCAAGCTATTTGATTGTCTTCCTTCCAAGGTACCAGCCTGGAAGGACAAGTTCTTTTATATTGTGACTGAAGGAGGATGACCCTTTACCTCATAGTGGATTGTAGTTGTTGCCAACCTGGGTGAGGAAACCCTAATCTTGGCTAAGAAAGAATTGGTTAAGGACCTGGTCGGCAAGAAATTACAGGTCAGGGATTACTTAATCGAGAAACTACTAGTTTGGCTGGTCTAAGTCTCTCTGGTAGGTCACTTTCCATACTTGGATTTTTTATTCATTATGGGCTAACCTCGGACTATGTGATTTGCCTTTTGTAGGAGAATTGTCAAACGTGAATGTGGATGCCGTTGGAGTCTTTTCAGCAGTCCAAAAGCAAATGAATCTCGTGAAGTCCGGGACATCTTGAACAAAAGGATAAAAAGAACTGCATTTTGTTTTCTCTAAGACCCCTTCTAAAGCCAAAGTCCTAATCCAAACTAAGCAAATAAGGAAGCCAAAATTTAGAGATAGGTTCTAGCCTATAATTTTACAAGTAATACAACAAAGGGAATCGTTCTCTAAGGGTGGCATTACCCCACAAGAGATCTTCCCAAAACAGAAAAAAATGGGGCCTGAATTGTTCTTTAAGGTGCTAAGGTGAGGCTAAGTGATGGGGCACTTTGTCACTTAGTCGCCTAGGCAATGGAGTTTTATTTTAGTAAGAATCATATATCCTAGAGTAGTTCCCTATATTCCATAGCAACTAGTAACCATATTTCCTTAATGATTATCATTATTTTCATAAGAAAAGTATAAACATCATGTTAAAGTATATTTTAAAATTATACAACATAGGGACTCAACCCCTATTTTAAGTTCTTCCCTATCAACTCAGGTTTTGAAGTCTTTGAGAGTTCAATACAGTATTTAGCAATGTGTGTGTTGATTAAACCCTAACAAATAAGATTTTAGTTAAAAAAATAATGTCTATTTTAAAATTACAATCTCAAAGAATTAAGAATATAAAATTATTTCATGGCACCTTGTACAAGTCTGCTTGGCAATTGGGCAGGGCGACCCTCCACGGGTACCTTGTCATCTAGGCATCGCCTAGGCAGGCGCCTAGTTGTCTCCTTACAACCATGGCACCATGAATAGTCAAGATAACCTTATGCCAAAGTCTATCCCTTTCCAAAGGTAACCTCCAGAGCCACTTTCGAAGAAAAGTTGTATTCCTAAGAAGTAGATTACCTAATCCCTAACCACCTTGCTCTACACACCATTTCCCATTTGACCAAATGGTCTTTCCTTTTATATAAGGATTAAGAATCTAAGACCCTAACATGGACTTGTTTGGTCTTGCCTCTAGGGGCTTGGCTGGGGGTCCAAGGGGAGAGCCCCCTGAAGGGATGGGAGATCCATCATATGGATGGTCGAACCCTGTAGGAAGGTTGGGCAAAATTTCAAAAATTTCTTTTCTCCCATCTGGGAATCGCATTCCCTAATTTAGAAAACTGCATTTTCAAGGTTCCTTCTTGAATCCAAAACCAGACTAGATCTAAAACCAGAAGGGAGGAGAGGGATATACCTGATACGAAGTAACAGTAACTCCCAATGAAGGTGTTCACGCCCAAGGAGAAGACCAAAACCCACCTCCACTGAAGATGACAGTGTGTGGTGAAGCAGGATCAGCAGGATGGCTCTTTAGTAAGAACCGGAATTCTTCAGCAAGAATGAAACAAGGGCTAGTGAGCACGACTTCAGATTGTTTCTTCAGCCAAGAAACAATATCAAGAACCTTTCTTGATCAGATCCACAAGTGGAGATCGAATTGGGTAGGGATGGCAAGAACAAGAGAGAACTCTGCAGATTGTTGTGTATAAATTGAGGAATTCACCCCTATTTATAATCTTCTTTGGATCAGCCTCCCAATTTAATTAGGAGAGAGTTTCTTGATCCAAATCTGATATTTGGATCTGGACTCTTAAATGGATAAGACTTATCTTATCCTTCAGCTAATCCTAATCAGATTAAAAATCAGATCTTGCCCCTTTTAGTTAACTAACTTAAGCCCAGTTCGAAAGGGGTTTTAGGCCCATTAAGCTTATGTGTTCACTTACTCCTTAACCTGCTATACAGTTGGCTCTCTTTGTATGGCGTGGGACCCTTACATCGATCTACACATCAGCCACATGGGTTCAGCCTAGCCTTTGTTACAAAGCCTGGCCGAATTCACTGTAGGAGACAGTGAACCCCTAAGTCCATCACCATGGACTCTTAATGGGCCCAACATTTACACTAAATGGTTATTGGATCCAGCAACCTTATGAAAACCCAAGAACTATGGGTAGATGCAAGATTAGCCCATCAGGTATTACCCTCAATGATCTTACACTTAACCTCTCAGTCCATAATGATCAAACACTGCCCGATAAGAGAGGACCTCTCCCTTGGCTGCAAGGTACAGTGTTGCATTCTCTATTCACATGGATCCCGCGAATTAAAACCTTTTGCAAACATTTTGAAACCATAATATATATATATACATATCTCTACATAAATATATTTTGCAAAAACAAATTTCAATGTTTGAAATCAACTGCCGGCAGTTTAGGTTTCCATCAAAGAGAGTATATTCCCCGATCATTCACTTTGTCCGACAAAGGGGCCGATCCTGTCACTATGATCACCCACTCAGGTGAATTCTCGGACTGTCCCAACATACCTAGGTTTTGACCCCCTTTAAGGATCTCACTGATTAGCATATCAAATACAGTCCAATCCGCCATGTAATGCAGTACCATAATCGATTCTAGGGGTCAGGTGTAACATTCCAGTTTTGCCCATCTATCTCCAAGGTCCAAGGCAATACTAGAATTTGGTCCGGTTTAGGGTTTCAAGAAAACCCACACTGCATGTACCTCAAGTCTCACCCTAGCAGCTGAGACAAGCCAACCCAACCAACTTGGCGGCACATCAGTGTCAGCCTTGGCAGGATAAATCTCCCCAAATCTATCCAACGGTTGCAAAGATTCTAAACTAACAGAGCCTCATAAGTGTTCAGTTTAAGGGTATTACATATAAACACACTACAATGACATGAATCAATTATGTACTTTATTCATTTACAATAAATGTCAAAAGATACATCAATTTGATTGGAGCTAAGGGCATAACTGTCTAACACTCCCAACACAGCCATTAGGTTCAAAAAAGAACAAAAAGTGCAAAAAACAAAAAAGGTGCACGCCTGGGCTGAAGCACCAAGTGCATGCTTAGGGGCTCTAGGCCCACACCTTTTGAAAGTGCTGCACCTGGGACCAATATGCTTCACCTAAGGGTGCACCTTTTAAATCACTCAAGAAAGCTAGAGTGCTAGAGTGTGGAAGAAGAATGTACCTTGCGCGGTATGCCCTTAAATACTTGTGGGGCAGTACCATTGTGCTCCTTGCATTGAAGGACACGTGTCGCATTCTGAGGTTGTTCCTCACTGAGGTTCTAGGGGTTGTTTCTGCATCCGTTGTGCGAGAGGCAGAGCAAAGGATGAGGAAGGTTGGACTTTGGCCAGTGTTCGCCACATGTCCCTCTTCGTCCGAGGTCTGCAGTGTGCAGCATTGTTGACATCTGCGGTGAGTGGTCTTGCACCACGTTGCTGTTCTCCATGCCAGCTATGCTGTACAGCTCAGCCAAGTATCCTCCATGTAGTCATCTGCGTGGTGGTTCAACCGGGGCGGTTTACACCCCCCCATCAGATTCAAGCGTTAGCTCTTGATATCATGTTGGAATTGGTTGATTAATCAGACATTCAGAATGGGAATAAGATTTATGAATTTATTAAAAAACTGTGCTGCAAATCCCTTACCATTGTTGCCATTTTATGGACCTATTTGTTTTTGTTTGACCAATTATTTTACTAAATAACAGAGAAAACAAAAACAGAAATCAATTCCTGAACTTTGTTGCAGAAGAGCAAAATCATTTTGGTGCATCTGTACGAGAAGAGAAACTTCAAGTTGATATGCATATCTCAAATGATCAAACTACCTCTTTCATTCAAGGAGAGCAGCATCAATCTGGTGCCCATGCCTCTGAAAAACAGCAGCATCATCCATCTGATGCACATCTTGCTTGTGCTACAGAACATAAATATCAACCAATGGAAATTAATGAACAAATTAGTAGTCAATCATGTATTGTTGGTTTAGTAGAGAATGCGGGAGGCCAGACCATGTTTATTGAACTAAGTGATGATGAAGACAGTCATGATGGTGGCAAAAATCCAAGTCTTGCATTCATGAACCATATCCCGGAACACCCAGAAAGCTATATATGGTATTATTTAGATCCTTTTGGTGAAATACAGGGCCCTGTTTCAATGTCATTGTTAAAGCGCTGGAGCGAATCTAACTACTTTGATCCAGATTTCAAGGTTTGGAAGACAAATCAGAGCAAAGACGATGCAGTCTTGTTGACAGATGCTCTTTCCCGCATATTCCCAAAGGACTATAAGAAAAAACTGTAGAGGTCAATTGATTGTGTAGAGGTCTTTGGATGCACTTAAGCAAGTAATAGCAAGCAACAATTTGATACGGGGCTTTTTGTGCATAACAATTGTTACTGACAAAAAAAGATCTTCATGTGCAGTTACTTTTTTGGTTAAATGTTCACTCAACCTTCTGATGAAAACCAGTTATAAACAGATTACCAAGTTGAAGCTATGAGCTCAATTAGACACGATGTCAAGGGTTAAAATTTTCTCCTTGCACTATTCTATTGAGAGAAGTTTCTGCAAGACAACTAATAGTGGGTGGACTTTTGTTAAAAGCCCAGATCTGTTTTGAGTTTGAGAAGGATTGGTATCTTATCGTTTTGGAGGTTGCTGTTGGAACCACTGCAGCCTTTTATAGTTGATTTTAATAGCATCCAGATCATCTTCCATGGTGGTATACCTTTACAAACTGAGATAAATTGTTGTTACAGACCGATACGTTACCCATTTCAAATTCGAATACACATGTGCACACACACAGCTAGTGATTTGATTTGAACACAGGTCGGGTCAGTCAAATGAAAGATTCTTCCAGTATGCTATGGTACTACAATTTGATATGCAGCTGCGCGGTGTGCACAGAGCCAACTATTCTTTTTCCTTTTACTAAAGAATACCATGTGCTCACTGCATTCAGTGACATACGCCAATTATTGACAAAATGATTGGTGCTTCAAGTTTCAACTTTCTAATAAGGACGTAGTTATGTATTTCCATAGAGATCAGCATGTAGTACAGGTAGAATGGTTTTGGTGCTCGTTCATTCCATGCATTGTGATCACTATCGTTGATATTATGCCATATCCAACTTGTCTTGGTCGATATAGACTTATACAGGTTGATACGGACCACGTACTAGCAGAATCAGAATGATCCATGTTTTCTTATTTCACTTTTCAGCACATTTTTCTCACCTCTAGGTTTTCTATCTTGATGATAAACACTTTTAGGAGAGTCGATGAATTCCTTTCTGCAAAAGCGCTTGATACCTATTACTAAGAAGTTGATTTATTTGAATCAAAAAGCTGCCCGAGATTCAATTATGGAGATGGTCACTTGGTACCCCCTCCAAATAAGAGGTGCGGAATCAAAACTGTTGAACTCTGCCTCACCTCTGATTCCCTTCTCGACTAGTTTAAAGGCAGAAAGAAGAATGCATTTTTTTTAATTAAAAATTTAAAACCTTTAATGATGAATAAAATATACATATTTTGGTGTTTGAATTGGAAATGCAAGGACATATTAATTTGTTGTCGGATCCATGATGTTGTTGCTTCCATTAATATATATCCATTGGTTTTCCCAAAAAATGGAAAATAATCATTAGAAATAATTTATTTTAAATGGTTTTGATGGTTAGAAAGAACTATAAATTTTTGGAAATTTGGCTAAAACTTACCATGACTTCTCAGCATTTCTCTTAAACTCACCATAACCTTTCAAGAGGTCTGGGGAATCCCATGTCAGTGAGTTTTTGTTTCCAAAACTCACCATCCATTAAAACATCATCAGTGATCATTGACAGAAGTTGTCCACACCAAGGTTTGAAATATCGATACGCCAGTAGGGGTGTATCGGGCATTTTGATACTTGTTCTTTTACCTTTTTTTATTTTTTTTTTCAAAACTGATTCAGGGGAGCCAGTCTAGGACTCCTCCATCCCCTGAACCAGTCAGGCTCCCGATACACCCACTGTAGGGGCGTATCGGAAGGGTCCCGGAACGATACGTATCGGCCGATACAGGCTGATACATAATGATACTTTGAACTTTGGTCCACACCAGCATGAAAGAAATTTTCATGACCAAACTCATTGTAAGTCACAAATTTTCATGACCAAACTCATTGGAAACCAAATCAAAGCCTCTAAAAGTTAAATCTGTAACAGATCTGTTTATACTTTATACGTGCCGGAGAACTTCCA